ACATCTCAAGAAAGACGTGGAGAAATTGGCGACGGTCCAGAGAAGAGCAACAAGAATGATTAAAGAGCTAGAAAACATGACCTTTGAGGCTGAAGAAATTGGGCAGTTTAGTTTAGGAAAGAGAAGACAGAGGGGATATGACGGCGGTTTTCAAGTATCTAAAAGGGTGTTACAAGGAGGAGGGAAAAAAATTGTTCTCCTTGGCCTCTGAGGATACTACAAGAAGCAATGGGCTTAAATTATAGCAAGGGAGGTTTAGGTTGGACATTAGGAAAAACTTCCTAACTGTCAGGGTGGTGACACACTGGAATAAATTGTCTAGGGAGGTTGTGGAATCTCCAACTCTGGAGATATTTAAGAGCAGGTTAGACAGACACCTGTCAGGGATGATTTAGATGGTGCTTGGTCCTGCTGAGAGGGCAGGGGACTGGACTCGATGACCACTTGAGGTCCCTTCTAGTTCTATGAATCTGTGTGAAGCGGCACCTTGTAGGACAGGATAAACTGGTGATCTGGTCTGAAACTAACAATATGAAATTCAACAGAGGCACATGTAAAGTACTTCACTTTGCGATGAAAAATCAGGTCCCCATTTTGTACTTGTCAAATACCTGATGAGGTGGCAGAGCTGCTGGAAAGATCTGGGGGCGAGAGGGGGCCACAAATTAATTATGAGCCAACAATACGATGCCATGTGCAACAATACGATGCCATTCTGGGAGTATTAACAAGGGTGTTGCATGTAAGCCACAGGGAGTAAGTGTTATACTCCTCTTGGCACTGGTGAGACATCAGCTGGAGTGTTCTGTCTAGTTGGGAAGGCCACACTTTTAAGAGAGATGTGGACAAATTGGAGAGAGGCCTGAGGAGAGTGACAAAAATGATACTAGGTTTAGAAAACGTGATGTGTGAGGGAAGGTTAAAAAACCGGGCACGTTTAGTCTTGAGACAAGACGACTGAGAGGGGACCTGGTAAGAGTCTTCAAATATGGGAAGGGCTGATCCAGAGGGGACTGTGATCAGTAGTTTCCCATGCCCACTGAAGGTAAGACAAGTAGTAACAGGCTTAACCTGCAGCAAGAGAGAGTAGGACGTTTTTCCTAATATCTAACCTAGAGTCAAACACAGATTAGCTAGGGAGGCTATCGGAGGTTTTTACGAAGAGGTTCAAAAATAATCTCTGAAGATGATCCAGGTTTAGTAGGTCCTGTCTTAGCATGGGGAACTAGATGAGATTACCTTTAAGGGCCCTTCCGTCCCATCTCAGCAAAGACAGCATCACCAAATCCTTGGCCCCTTATGTTTCTGGCAGCCCTGCAGGGAATAAACTGGATTTCTGGTTATCCCAAACATTTCACACTCCGTTCTTGTAGGCAAGGCAGAATTTTAGATGCAGGGTTTGTGTATTTTCTCCTTCCAACAAGAACAGAATGTATTGACTAGAATTCATGCTGCAGGACAGATAGAAGGACAAAGCACCAGGGTTGTATCTTGCTGCACCTCTCCTTCAAAGGGAGGAGATCTCTACTTGCCCACTAGCATTATGCGCCCCCCAACGCTTCCCTCCCAACTCCTGGTCAGAGTATCTGATAGGCAGAGATCCCAAGTGGCACTGCACTGTCACTGAGGTGTCAGCCTGGGGAGCCATCCCCCAAACCCGTAACTGGCTTCAAGGCATTTCTGTCAACGCAGAGGCTGGTGTTAGATAGAGGCCTGGGTTTAAATGCAGAAGGACCTCACCTATCAACGTAGCCGAGTGTTATTCTTACTGTGCACACCACAAGACTGGCTTATTGTTGGATCTCTCCTGATAGGTAGAGGAAAGGGAAGAGGAATAGGTTTCAAGCAGCCAGAAGAGACAGAAAGGGTCACCATGCATTGCTGCTGTGCCCTGTCCTAGAAATGCCTGACACTATCCGGGATTGTGTGAGCCATGGCAAGGGTGTCGATAGACACGTGTTGGGAGGAGGCACAGCTCCGCGATACAGCTGCTGATTAGTGCGACAATAGGCTGTGTTCCTCGCTGCTGTTCCCTGTGCTCAGCTCCAGAGCGAACAGGCGCCAATGAAAGGGAAAGCAGAGAATACGACGTGAGACCGACAAGCACCGATGGAGAAGGGAGGGGAGGAGGCAGCTCCCTTTATTTTGTCTCTCCAACTTTCACAGTCTTGGCATCTTGCAGCTGCGGGAGGCAAATGGAAGCTCCTGTGAACAGCCTGGCTGCCATCCCACTGCCATCCTGAAGCAAGGCACAGCTGCAGCGGGCCTGCTGTGAACATTGCCTGGAGCAAGGCATGATGCTATCCTCAACACTGGGAGACAGGAGTGGGGCGAGCCATGTGTTGGCAGGGGCAGCTAGCGTAGGCTGGCACACAGCAGGCGAGCCCAACGGATCTGCTTTCACATCACTTACGGCACAGCACAAAACCACTTCCACTTCCCGCTTGTATGTTTCGCCAAGAGGAGACAGAGCTCCGCCCCCATCTCCACCTGCCCTCTCCAGCCCATCAATCTGTCACTCAGCATCCAGCGCCACATCAGGCTGCTTGTCCAAACTCTGACTCTGCCCCGCTGCAAGCTGCAGCATCCATGGTAGCCGTGGGGTGTTCCCATACGCCTTGCACTGCTCTCCCTGCATCCTTCCCCTGTTGTTTGTGGCCACACTGTCCCCTTGCTCCCAGAATGGCTCCCAGCCCAACTACCCAGACACACCCCCACATCCCATATTTCAGCTCCCAGCGCCCCCACCCCACCCCAGGAGCCACACCCCCACATCCCATATTTCAGCTCCCAAGGTTTGCCTCAGACCGAGCACTCAGTGCAGAGATTACGTTTCCCTCGGTACAGCACACGCTCTACTCTCAATCACACAAGCCATTTGGGCCAAGCTGCTTGCTTCCCCAGGAGCTCCAGCCCCATCTCTCTCGCCGTAGTGTGCAGAAGGAACAAGTTGTGCTTTGCTGCACAGAGGCACTGCACAAAGCAGGGAAAACAAGGCCTAAGCATCCCACAGGGGCTTTCCGATTTTTGCACCATGATCGTAAAAAACTCAATAGTGAGGAGGCTTCAGCAGACTGAAGCTGTTGCTCTTCAGTGTGGCACAGCAGGTGAGGCTCGCAACGAGCACGAAAAGGGCCAATTCATGTCGATTTCACCGGCATGATCCTGGCACATCGCTGCTTCCTGAAGACCTAAGCCTCTTTCCAGGACCTGCCTCCTCACAAACAGGCTGGCCTGGGACATGAGCGAGCCGTAGAAAGGAGGATGGCAGCTGAGGTTGAAAACGCGGCCGTGGCGCCCTGTCATCGTTAGGGCACCAGTTCGCAGGCTGGTTTTTGCAGGGATGGAGGTTTTGCACAATGACCTACAGTTTGCGGTGGCGGTGCAGTGATTTACCTAGAACTCCTCAGTGGGGGACACACCACAAAAATCCAACTGGACCCACCCCCAGAGGCCACAGAGCAAGGGTGCAGGGAGCAGAGCAGAGGCACAGCCAGTTAGGCAATGTGACACAGCTGCTGCCTGGGGAAGGGATACGCTGAAAGGCTACAGAGATGACTTCGTGCTCTAGGCTCGTCAAGACAGTATCAGTCAAGAGCACTTGGGGCTTTTTAATTGATTGCGAGGGGGGAGAGGAAAACAGGAGCTAATCGAGAGGCTGTTGGGATGGAGGCTGCTCTGTTCCTCCCACTTCAGATTGAAGGTAATTTGGATAGTCCCCCTGCCTCCACTATTAGCGGCAGTTGTGTCTGTGCGTAGGTGAAAAGAGTCAGTTACTTCTGCAGATTTAGGTCAAACCCTAGAACAGAGTCTGGGCTAAAGGACGGAATGGTGCAAAAAGCAAAAAATTCAAGCTACCACAAAGAGGAGGAGATGTGTTCTGCATGGGACACGCCTATGAAAGGCCAGCTGAAGCGGCTGGTGGTTGAATTACAGCAAGGTCCCACCCCCACGTACCCCTAGAGAAGTCTTCGAACCAAAGGACACATTGGCCCTCCCAGCTGACATGAGCTTCTGCTCACACAGCTGGCCATGCCCAGCACAGAAGCTGCTTCTCACTGCAGAGCGGATAGGTGAACTGAAAGGGAGGTGGGTCAGGCTGTAAAACAGTGCTCAGACAAGCTGAGAGGCACTCCCGAGGAGGCACACACTTTGCAAAGACTAGGACAGTGAAGTAGGACAGCCTCAATCCTTGAGCCCGACCTAGAGGATAAGACCCAGGAGACCTGGGTGCAGGCCCTGGCTCTGATACAGACCACTTCCATGGCCATGGGCAAGTCTCTGCATCTCTCTCGGCCTCAGCTCCTATCTGTAAAGTGGGAAGGACACTTCCCTGCCTGCCAGGGGTGTGTCAACATGGAGTCAGGTGTCAGCAGGGTGCTCCAATGAGCCAGCTGCGAGGGCTGGGTCCGCACCCAAGTAGCCTCACCCATGCTTGCCCACAGCTGCTCCAAAGCCAAGACTCCACTTTTACATTAAATCAGCATTTAATTTGTTCCAAAATGCACTTTTTCGTATGAATTGCAGTTTAGATCTCTACCCTGCCCTCCCCTTAAAAAAAACAAGAACAAAAAAACAAATACAGCCACCAACCTCCCCCACGAGGTACAAGTCCCCTGAAGTGAGCCTGTAACAAACAGCAAACCAAACAAAGGCTGAAATGCTTTAGAATCACAACAATGTACAAAAAAAAGAGTAAAATACAACCTGAAACTGTTCAAGTTCAGAAAGGCTAGTAAAGTCCATCGCTTCAGCAGGGGATGCCACGCCTGTCAGCGGGTTCTGGGTCACTGGCCTGCTACCGGGTCACAGCAGCTCCTCTTCCACACCAAAGTTCATCGGTTGGCACGGGCGAGAAGGTGTTATGCATTAAAGATTTCAAGAGGGGAACAATTCGCAAGCAGCCCTGGGAGGCAGAGACAGTGAAAAGGACCATGACTTCCAACAGGTCCCCAGCCACCTGCGATACGGAGCGCTCGAGAGAGAGCAGCTTGCTTCTTCCTCGCCGCGTTGAAGCCTCCCAGCTGGAGACTATTTCTTTAAATCAGTGGCCAATTAATAGGCTTAGTGAGGGCAGTGAACAGATTAGTAAACGCAGCCCAGCACTGGATCTCCCCGTCACAGCGTGAGGTAGAGTGTGAATAAAAATACTGGGGGCATGGGGAAGGTTCAAGGTTTCAGCGTAGAGAAGCTCCTGGCCTGGAAATTTTTTGCCTTCCCTTTGGGACTGGAGAGATCTGTGTAGGTAGCTTCCTCTCCCCCAGCCTGGCTTCAACAGCAAAGTCCCAATCTTGGGAGTCAGTGGATTTGCCATGGAAGAAGTTCTCTTGAGCGCTAGATCAGCCTAGCCACTTCCTCACAAGAGGGAGCACAGGAAGGCCGGCTGGGAGGGAGCAAAACCTTCCAGAGATTCCATTCCCCTGGTGTCAGGGGTTTTCTGCACCTCAGGGGAATGATCTCTGCCTGAAAGTCCTTCTTGCAAGGCCTAGGAAAGCAGGTGACATCTTGGACATGAATGAGATTTGCACACTGTAGCCAGGCATGGCCACTTAGGGGCTGAATTCAAATCAGGGCTTTTTATTTGCCAGCCTGGAGAGGACTGGCCCAGAACCCACCGAAAAGGAGACACAAGGCCTTTGTTGCTCCTTCTGGCATCATTCATAGCTGAGTGATGGCTACATGGCAGGTTCTAGTGGCGGCTGGAGACCAGCCCTTTGACTTTGGACATCTTCTTTGTGGGCTGCCTTTGCTCTGCGTGGGGAGGACACTCTCGCTCTGCCAGCTGCTGTTCCATCTCTTGTGCTGACGACGAGGCCGTGGCTTTTAAGGTTTTCTTTATGTTTGTGACCTGGACGAGAAGAGACAGCGAATCAGCATTTACTTCTTCCACCCCATAGCAGAGAGGAAGTCCCTTGCTGCACATAGAATGGAAATGCCCTTGAGTTCTGAGAGTGGATACAAATCTCCCTGTAAACACACATTAAACCCTCTAGATTTGAGTTGATTAGCTGTCAGCATTAACAACCTGTGGGTGACCTGACCTAGTAATACTCTACATTGCACCTGGGTTGGAGGCAATTGGCAGCTGCAGATATCTGTTACTACACTCTGGGAGTAGCACAGTGACAAGCAAGCAAGACTTTCTACTGTGACTGCAGCCCCTCAGTGTCTGTTTACAGACAGGGAGTATCTGGGGATATGCACAGAGGAAAAAAACCCACGTAGAACAGCTCTGCAGAATGAAGGGAAGGTACAAGTACTTGGAGCTATCAGCCAGCTGATTAATGGTAGGAATGAAGGCTACCCTCCAACATTGGGGGTGTTTGACAAGCAAGCACATGCATCAGCTAACAGTGGGAAGTGCCATCTGCATGGTCCCTCACCCTGCAAACACTGGCACTTGAGGGGTTGCCACGAAAAGAATTAGTGAACTGACAAGTGTAGCCTGAAATGAACATAGGAGTCAAGAGCCCAGACTCCTCAGGGCTAGAAACAGATGACAAACCCAATGTATCCTGGGTACCAGCCAAGTCACCGACTATAAACAGCTTTGAAAGGCCAGTGTGCACCTGCAGCGACGCAGAAGGCTGAAAGAAATAAACCTCCAGCTAATTCCAGGAGAACTATTCTCACCTCTGTGCAGTTGTATTAGTCACGATTTGTTCTCTCAAGCAAATACAATCAGCAGACTAAAACCACATGCTTATGCTGCCCTCTGCTGACCATCTCTGGATATTATAACATTTAGGGGAAAAACATTTTGACTCAAATTCCCAAAAAGCAATTTCAGGATTTTGGGTACCATTTAGGGGTTCTCAAACTGACACTCTCAACTATTTCTGAAAGTCTGGGCCATTTAAGACCCATCCAGTGAATGACAAACCTCTATTAAGAGAATTCAAGTTGGATATCCAAAATCACTAGCCATTTTTTGAAAATGTAATCCCTTGTAATCCCATTCCTTGGGATGGCAAGAGGCTGTCCATATTTGCAAGATTAACAAATGAGGCTCTCTCAGCAATGGAAACAGTTTTCAAAAGCACCTTCTGCAGCTAAAATGTTGGGTTCCTGAGGAAAAGTTATATTGCACTTTCTCCGGTTGAGATGGAATTCAGAGGGATGGCTAGGAATAGCTCTGGAGACATTTTCAACAGCATTCTAGGTTCACATTAATTATTTGTTCTTACCGTAAAATCGCGAGTATAATGCGTACTTTTTTCCTGTTTTTTTTAGCGTCAAAGTCGGGGTGCGCATTAGCCATAGGAGGCTTTTTTTTTTAAGTTTTCATTTGGCGGTTCCGCGGCAGTTAATTAATCGCTGGACAACACAGGTTAAGTTGATTTTTATTAGCACAGACAAGCAACTATATACAGTTTCCCCTTTATTCGGCTCTGGTGAGGCCACATCTGGGGTATTGCGTCTAGTTCTGGGCCCTCCACTACAAAAAAGGATGTGGACGCATTGGAGAGGGTCCAGTGGAGGGCAACCAAAATGATTAGGGGGCTGGAGCATATGACCTATGAGGAGAGGCTGAGGGAGTTGGGACTGTTCAGTTTGCAGAAGCGAAGAGTGAGGGGGGACTTGATAGCAGCCTTCAATTTCCGGAAGGGAGGTTCCAAAGAGGATGGAGAGAGGCTGTTCTCAGTAGTGACAGATGGCAGAACAAGGAGCAATGGGCTCAAGTTGTGGTGGGAGAGGTCCAGGTTGGATATTAGGAAAAACTATTTCACTAGGAGAGTGGTGAAGCACTGGAATGGGTTACCTAGGGAAGTAGTGGAGTCTCTATCCCTAGCGGTGTTTAAGTCTCAGCTTGACAAAGCCCTGGCTGGGTTGATTTAGTTGGGATTGGTCCTGCCTAGAACAGGGGGCTGGACTTGATGACCTTCTGAGGTCTTTTCCAGCTCTATGGTTCTATGATTCTATGAAAAAGGTAAGTTAAACAAATGAAATCAACCCTGCAGCGCAAACAAGCAAATATGTTAATTGATCTTCTACTCATCTTCGAAGCTCTAGAATTCGCTTTTGTTAGAATCTTCCTCGAACAGACGAGCAATATCTTCCGGGGTATAGTCCTCGACATCTTCATCCAGGTAATACAAATCATTGTCATCTTCGCATACCGGTAATTCACCCTTGCCGATTCATCGTTGCTCGGATCCATCCACAGGGCATCATCCTCGCTGCCATCCATAGCATTAGAGACGCTGCATTTCAGAAACCCCTTCCTTATCATAACGGGATCAAGTTCAAGCCAGACATCCGCTATCCACTGGGTAACATCTTGCAGCATCGGTGTTTGCATACGTACACTTGCAGTAAATGTATGTTCACCTTCCAACAACCAGGTGTTCCATTTCTTGCATAGTGCATCTTTCAATGGCTTGTTAACTGTCATGTCAAGCGGTTGCAACATTTTGGTCATTCCACCAGGAATAATTGCCAAGTCTGTTTTGTCCTGCGGAAGCCTTTTCTTGATGGATGGCATACGATGACACCGATATGCATCCAAAACTATTAGAGACCGCTTTCTCATAAGTCCACCCAGCTGCTTTGCCCAAACCATCTGTAGCCAATCAAGCATTAAAGCTTTGTCAATCCAGCCTTTAGGGTGAACATGCACGTGAACGGTGTTTGGGAATATAACATTCTTTGGCATTTTCTTGCGCTTGAACACAATATAAGGAGGCAGCTTCATTCCGTTGGCCATGCAAGAAAGCATTACGTTAAACCTAGACTTTTCATGGCCTGTGGTAGCAATGGAGATGGTCTTGGCACCTTTCACTTCAAGCGTTCTGTCGTAGGGATTATAGAAATTTAATGGTGTCTGATCTGCGTTACCAATTAATGAAAGGACGTAGTAGTGCTGCTTGTGTAGTTTTATGATAAACTTTTGGAACTGTAGTAACTTGGTGTCTGAGTCCATGGGTAGCTTCTGTGTGATTGTTGTTCAGCGTCGGACCGATAGGCCATGGCGATTCATGAACTGATCGTCCCAGCCATACGAAGCTTTAAACCCGGCTGTGTTAGCGCACATTTTGGCAATGGTCAAAGTCTTCATCTAACCTCCACAATGCTAACACCACCGCCTTGCTGTCTACGCTCAGCAATCCATTCAACCAGCTTGGCCTTCAACTCAGGATATGCAGTGCTTTTACCTCGCTCAGCCATCTTCATCCAAGGCAGCGCTTGCAGGTGTTCTTTCTGCCGTCTCCAAAGCCGAATGTTAGACTCTGCTATGTCATCAAATTCATGGCTGGGCAGCTCTGTTGCCATGAGCCTCAGCATAGCTAACAACTAAGTTTTTCAGCGGTCGTGTAAGATCGCCGACAACTCATGGCATCCCAAAGAGAGCATGAAACGCCGCGCACTATATGCTCACGCGTGATTACCCGGCAATACAAAAAGGCAAGACAAAATACGGCAAAGTCGGAGTGCGCATTATAAATAAGAATTCAGTTTATTCTGGGATTCTGATGTTTAAAAGGTAGGTGTGCATTATGCATAGATGCACATTATACTCGCGATTTTACGATAAGTCTCAGCTATGTTAGCCTGTATCTGCAAAAACAATGAAGACAAACAGATTTATTTGAGCATAAGCTTTCATGGGTTAAAAACCACCTTCTCAGATGCAATATGCATCTAATGAAGTGGTTTTTACCGACAAAAGTTTATGCCCAAATAAATCTGTTAATCTTTAAAGTGCCACAGGACTTATTTTTATTTGCTCTTATTCTTTCTGGATTTTCATTATTCACTTTGAAATCCATAGTTGCAGAAACATCAGATTACTGTTGTGTTTAAAAAAAAATAGTTTTCTAACAAAGCAACACAAGGAACTCCCAAGCAAGTTTATAAAGGAAGACTCAGAAACCCGGTTTTGCTCATCAGCGAAGGTAAGTATAGTGGGGGGGGAAAGAGGAATCTGTCCTAGAGGGTTCATCATCACAAGACTAGCACACCTTTTCGGGCATGATTGTCAGTCTCTGGCTAGCAAGCAGAAGCCCTGGCTGAACTGCAGGTAGTGCTGTAAAGTAGGGATGTTACATTTAGATTAATTGGCTAATAGAATAGTTGATGCAATTTGCATTGACTATTCGATTAGTCAATAAAGGGACCTCTGCCTTTGAAATGCAGCAGCAGCTCCAGGGCTTCAAGGCAAAAGTGCTGCAGGGAGCACAGGGCCAGTGGGGGACTCAAGCATTCCACTGCTGGCCCTGAGCACCTCACTGCATTCAAAGTGACAGACCCCAGCTACCCGGGCTACTCGTGGTGTTTCAAAACAGCAGACCCCAGGCTCCATGCAGTGTTTCTGCTTTTGGAATGCAGCCCAGGCCAGCTGGGGACTCCCCAGCTGGCCCTGGGCTGCATGTGGCATTTCAAAGCGGCAATGCCACATGGAGCCCAGGGTCTGGCACTCAGGCTCTATGCGGTGCTGCCGCTTTGAACCACCCTTCCTCTTCCCCCTTCATCCCTTGCTGCCTCTTTTTGATAGAGGCAGCAAGGGGGGGAGCGACTAGTTCACTATTATCGGATAGTCGACTAGTCGTTCACTTCCCTACTGCACGGCACTGCTGATATCCCTCAATCTTTGCAAGGGAAGGCTACAAGAGTCCTGCTCACATTAAGCGTGAGCCAAGCCCCTTAGTTTCTCACTTTAATAAGCACAGAAATTCACCACGAGAAACTTGGTGTATCAGACACACTTATCACCAGAGCGGACAGGAGAGCTTCCACACCTACCTCTGTCTCGACCTGCTGCTGAGTTCGGTTGTGGTTCTCTTTGTACTGATTGGCTCTAAGCACTTGCTGTTCAATTCCTAACAGAACTGCTTCACACCCATCACACCTGAAAATGGAACAACACTCATGCATTCAATGCTGGATTGCTTGAAAGGGACACTCACTTTGGGGGGAGGGGGAATCACAGTTCTGTCTGAAAAAGTCTGGGGACTTATATTTACATTAGCAACTAAGATGATTAGAGATGAAAGAACTTAGAGGGAAAAGATGTTTTATTCTGTTTCAGTCTGTTTACTGTGTGTCTCACAGCACTACTTTGCACCTACTCAGTTTCACTGCTCCGTTGATGGTCAGTCTAAAAGGAATTTACACACTTCCTTGTGCCCTGAAATTTAATATGTGCCAGCAGCAGCAGAGCCAAAGCTGAAACAAGAGAGGTAGTAAACAGGTGTGTGAACAGAGAGGAAGCAGAGGCTGGTCCCAGCATGTCTGGAGGAATTGCTCTATTAGATCCTATTAGATTCACCACAAAGAAGCCAAAAAACATGTTCAAACTTTTTTCAAAGAGCAGGAATTGCTACTGAAAAGGGGATATATTAGAAACTTGGGTTTTTTAATTACTCAGAAAATAAGGGTGTGTCTACACAGCACCCTAAACTCAAAATAAGATAGAATTGAAATAAGATATGCAATTTGTGTATTTCAAAATTGCTTATTTTGAAATTTGGAGTGTCTTCACAGCACCAAATTTAAAAATAATGCACTATTTTGCAACATCCCTTAACCCTCATGAAACGAGGGTTACAGGGGATGCCGAAACAGCACGCCTGTTATTTCGAAAAATATTTTACCTCTGGTATCCCGAAATAGCCGCGCAGTGTAGACATACCCTAAGAGTGACACTGATAAGGTCCCCCTAAGAAATAAACAAATTGGATGACAAGAACACTCCTTCACTAAGGGCAGATCTAGTCTTTAAAATGCTACATTGTCCTGTATTTTGTTTCAGCTACACCAGACTAACACGGCTACATTTCTATCACTATGACTTCCTTTATGCTTCTTGTTCTGACTTTCTTTACACTTCCTGTTCTAGGGTCCTGGAATCAAGGAGAGAGCAATCAATGGTCTATTTAGCATGTGTCCACTAGACCTGTAAATCAATCACCACAGTGCCCATCTGCTGGTACATGTAGGCATGCTCTCAAAGAAGGTCTCAACTTTCAATCACAGCGGAAAAGGTACTCAAGTGGGAAGGAATAGAAAGGGACTCAAGCAATGCAAAAAGATCCAAGAAGCTACTGCACTACTTCCTTGGAGGGGAGGTGGTAGGGAAGAGGAATGGAGAAGGGAAGAGAGAAAAACTAAGTGACCCAAGTTACCACACTTACCCAGCTACTTAATCTTAGTTATTTCTAATGCATCCATAATAGCTAGACAACGACTGTATTATGTAGTAAAGTGGGAATTAGTCACAGTCCTTGTGACATAGAAAAATGGCAACTCCTCTGGGTAATGGAGGAATCCTACAGGAAGAAATGAAAGGCAGTTTCCTAGAAAAATGGTAAAAATACACTAGAATAATCAAAGTAAAATGGTCTCAGCCAAAAGCATGAGGTCTGTTTCATCTCCAGCAATGAAGGGAGGCCTACAGAGATTTCTGAAGCACTTCAGAAGTGAAGTTTAAAGTACCGTGACTCCAAGATACAGTTTGGTAAGATTTGTCTGAGTAATTCTCATCACCAAAGGGTTAGTGGACAAAGAGAAGGAAGACGGTGGCATTCTATAAGTAATAAACAGGATGATATTCAATAAGGACAAATGCAAAGCACTCCATTTAGAAAGGAACAATCAGTTGCACACATTCAAAATGGGAAATGACTGCCTAGGAAGGAGCACTGCAGAAAGGGGTCTGGGGGTCACAGTGGATCACAAGCTAAATAAGTCAACAATGTGATACTGTCACAAAAGAAGCAAACATGACTCTGAGATGCATTAACAGGAGTGTGGTGAATAAGACACGAGAAGTCATTCTTCCGCTCTACTCTGCACTGATTAGGCCTCAACTGGAGTACTGTGTCCAGTTCTGGCTGCCACATTTCAAGAAAGATTTGGAGAAATTGGAGAAGGTCCAGAGAAGAGCAACAAAAATGATTAAAGGACTAGAAAACATGACCTAAGAGGGAAGGCTGAAGAAACTGGGCTTGTTTAGTTTAGAAAACAGAAAAGTGATAGGGGATATGATAGCAGTTTTCAAGTATCTAAAAAGGTGTTACAAGGAGGAGGGAGAACAATTGTTCTCTTTTGCCTCTGAGGATAGGACAAGAAGCAATGGGCTTAAACTGCAGCAAGGGGGGTTTAGGCTGGACATTAGGAAAAATTTCCTGTGATCACTGGATATTCCTGTTAAGCACTGGAATAAATTGCCTAGGGAGTGTGTGGAATCTCCATCACTGGAGATATTTAAAAGCAGGTTAGACAGACACCTGTCAGAGATGATCTACACCAGGACTACTCAACTTTGGAAGCCCCGGGGGCCACAATGTTACTCACAGCACACGCTGAGGGCCTCAACTTAAGTCTTGTTTCATATACATGCAAATATATATGCAAATAGCTTCTTTCACACAATGCCACAGCACTCCTGGCACCTCCTTCTTAGGGGCTAGAAATGCTGACACCCTGCACCCGTCCCACCCAGCCTGTCCAATTGCGTCTTTCAATGCTCATCCCACCTGGGAGATGCCTCGCCATTGTGGAGTGTGTTCCTGGTGGAGGCCATGTTCAAAAGCTCCCACCTGTGGGCTGCATTTTGAGCCCCGCATAAACCCAAACTGCACTGAGGGCCGCAAACAAACAAGCTGTGGGCCACATGTTGAATAGCCCTGATCTAGACAGTGCTTGGTCCTGCTCTGAGCAGGGACTGGACTTGATGACCTCTTGAGATCCCTTCCAGTTCTAGGATTCTATAAGCAGCAATGGGCTTAAGTTGCAGAAAAGGAAGTTGAGGTTGGATATTAGGAAAAACTTCCTGTGAGGCTGGTTAAGTCTGAAATAAATTGCCTAAGGAGGTTTTGGAATTTCTATCATTGGAGATTAAGAGTAGATTAGACAAACATCTAATTGCCTAGATCAGGGGTGGCAAACTTTTTGGCCTGAGGGCCACATTGGGATTCCAAAATTATATGGAGGGCTGTCTAGGAAAGGCTAGGGGAAGATGTCAGGTTTTTGTCCAGGAGGGGACTTTTAATGGTATAAGAGTACTAATAAATGGAATATACTGAAACTAAGCCAACCTTTAATTCTTATAGGATTCTGAAAGAACAGGATGAGCTATTTCCTTTGAGACATTCCTAAACAGGTAGAAGAGCCTCCTGCTCACCATTCTTGAAGCGTTTTAATAATATTACTGATGTCCTTCTTTTGAATGTCTCTGCCGATACAGAAATCCACCTCCAGCACCTGGTTGCGCTGATCCAGTTTCCCCTGAATAATGTCTGTATACACAGCTTCAATGATTAGATCTTCCAGCTCCCTCAGATTCCTCATGTCCAGATCTTTGAGCAACACAGAGTAAGGAATGCACTAGAAACAGGAAATCCAAGAACAAACAGTCACTCCTAGGCACAGAATGGAAAGCTGAGCTTAGACTGGAAGTAGGACTAGTAGAAACATGCAATCAAACCAACGTTTACTTGCAGGATGTGTACAATAAACAGTGAGTGAGTGGAACAAAGGAGGCAGCTACTATTAGATTATGTCACACATAAGACGATAAGCTTTTATTACAGTAAGTTCTGGAGAGTGGGTTTGAGTGGCAGCATTGTGAAGGATAAAGTCAGTTCCCACCCCACCCTACCTAGAATCATAGAATCATAGAATAATAGGACTGGAAGGGACCTCAAGAGGTCATCGAGTCCAGCCCCCCGCCCTCAAGGCAGGACCAAGCTCCGTCTACACCATCCCTGACAGATGTCTATCTAACCTGTTCTTAAATATCTCCAGAGAGGGAGATTCCACCACCTCCCTTGGCAATTTATTCCAATATTTGACCACCCTGACAGTTAGGAATTTTTTCCTAATGTCCAATCTAAACCTCCCCTGCTGCACTTTAAGCCCATTACTCCATGTCCTGTCCTCAGAAACCAAGAGGAACAAATTTTCACCTTCCTCCTTGTGACACCCTTTTAGATATTTGAAAACCACTATCATGTCCCCCCTTAATCTTCTTTTTTCCAAACTAAACAAGCCCAGTTCATGAAGCCTGGCTTCATAGGCTTCTCTAGACCTTTAATCATTCTTGTCACTCTTCTCTGTACCCTTTCCAATTTCTCCACATCTTTCTTGAAATGTGGCGCCCAGAACTGGACACAGTACTCCAGCTGAGGCCTAACTAGTGCAGAATAGAGCGGCAGAATGACTTCACGAGTTTTGCTTACAACACACCTGTTGATACAACCTAGAATCATATTTGCTTTTTTGGCAACAGCATCACACTGTTGACTCATATTCAACTTGTGGTCCACTATGACCCCTAGATCCCTTTCCGCCATGCTCCTTCCTAGACAGTCGCTTCCCATCTTGTATGTATGGAACTGATTGTTCCTTCCTAAGTGGAGCACTCTGCATTTCTCCTTATTAAACCTCATCCTGTTTACCTCTGACCATTTCTCTAACTTGCTAAGGTCATTTTGAATTATGTCCCTATCCTCCAAAGAAGTTGCAACCCCACCCAGTTTGGTATCATCTGCAAACTTAATAAGAGTACTCTCTATCCCAATATCTACATCATTGATGAAGATATTGAACAGTACGGGTCCCAAAACAGACCCTTGAGGAACTCCACTTGTTATCCCTTTCCAGCAGGATTTAGAACCGTTAACAACAACTCTCTGACTACGGTTATCCAGCCAATTATGCACCCACCTTATCGTGGCCCTATCTAAGTTATATTTGCCTAGTTTATCAATAAGAATATCATGCGAGACCGTATCAAATGCCTTACTAAAGTCTAGGTATATGACATCCACCGCTTCTCCCTTATCCACAAGGCTCGTTATCCTATCAAAGAAAGCTATCAGATTAGTTTGGCATGACTTGTTCTTCACAAACCCATGCTGGCTATTCCCTATCACTTTATTACCTTCCAAGTGTTTGCATATGATTTCCTTAATTACCTGCTCCATTATCTTCCCTGGGACAGACGTTAAACTGACCGGTCTATAATTTCCTGGGTTGTTCTTATTCCCCTTTTTATAGATGGGCACAATATTTGCCCTTTTCCAGTCTTCTGGAATCTCCCCTGTCTGCCATGATTTTTCAAAGATCATAGCTAAAGGCTCAGATACCTCCTCTATCAGCTCCTTGAGTATCCTGGGATGCATTTCATCAGGACCTGGTGACTTGCTGACATCTAACTTTCCTAAGTGATTTTTAACTTGTTCTTTGTGTATCCTATCTTCTAAACTTACCCTCTCTCTGCTTGTATTCACTACGTTAGGCACACCTCCAGACTTCTCGGTGAAGACCGAAACAAAGAAGTCATTGAGCATCTCCGCCATTTCCAAGTTCCCTGTTACTGCTTCTCCCTCCTCACTAAGCAGTGGGCCTACCCTGTCCTTGGTCTTCCTCTTGCTTTTAATGTATTTATAAAAGGTCTTCTTGTTTCCCTTTATGCCTGTAGCTAGTTTGATCTCATTTTGTGCCTTTGCCTTTCTAATCTTGCCCCTGCATTCCCGTGTTGCTTGCCTATATTCATCCTTTGTTAGTTGTCCTAGTTTCCATTTTTTATATGACTCCTTTTTTATTTTGAGATCATGCAAGATCTCCTTGTTAAGCCAAGCTGGTCTTTTGCCATATTTTCTATCTTTCCTACACAGCGGAATTGTTTGCTTTTGGGCCCTTAACAACGTCCCTTTGAAATACTTCCAACTCTCCTCAGTTGTTTTTCCCTTCAGTCTTGCTTCCCATGGGACCTTACCTACAAGTTCTCTGAGCTTATCAAAATCTGCCTTCCTGAAATCCATAACCTCAATTGTGCTGGTCTCCCTTCTACCTTTCCTTAAGATCATGAACTCTATTATTTCATGATCACTGTCCCCTATACTGTCTTCCACTTTCAAGTTCTCAACTAGTTCCTCCCTATTTGTTAAAACCAAATCCAGAACAGCTTCTCCTCTGGTAGCTTTTTCAACCTTCTGAAACAGAAAGTTGTCTCCAATGCAGTCCAGAAACTTATTGGATAGCCTGTGCCTCGCTGTGTTAGTTTCCCAACATATGTCTGGATAGTTGAAGTCCCCCATCACCACCAAATCTTGGGCTTTGGATAGTTTTGTTAATTGTTTAAAAAAGGCCTCATCCACCTCTTCCACCTGGCTAGGTGGCCTGTAGTAGACTCCTAGCATGATATCACCCTCGTTTTTTACCCCTTTTAGCTTAACCCAGAGACTCTCTACACAGCTATCTCCTACGTTCATCTCCACTTCAGTCCAAGTGTGTACATTTTTAATATACAAGGCAACCCCTCCTCCCTTTTTTCCCTGTCTGTCCTTCCTGACAGAATGTGCTCAGCATGTTTGTCTTAGACCTGCCCACTCTTCCCTGTTGAAGAAACAAAAACATGAACAGGGAAGAACTGTTCATTCTTCTTTTAAAAGACTAGGGGGGCAGTGTCCCCTGCTCTCTCTGCTTCCAAACTCAGCCTAGGCATCTAAGATACTGATTTGATCTTGCCTCCCTGTTGTGCCCTGACCCTCCTTTCTCCTTGCCATTATAGGCCGTAGTCCCCCCCATTTCCAACCCATCTCCCAGTCCCGCACATTCAGCACTTACCTGTGGGCTTTGCTCACCTGCCCCCGTCGAACTAGGGATGTCAACATGTACTTGACTATATGATAAACTGATAAGCCTAGGCTTATTGGTTAATTTTGTTGACTACATGCATTCCCCCTCCCCCACCTTGCTGCCTCTGTTTCAGAGGCAGCGGGGGCAGGAGCTGGTGTGGGGGAGGGATGCAGGCTTAAAAGATAGAGGCAGTAGCATGGGGGTGGGCACCATGGAGTCAGCTTAAAAGCCAGTTTACCCCAACACCTGCTCCGTGATGCCACTTGCGTCTCCCCCCCCCCCATTGCGGGGGTCCGAGCGTCCTGTGGACAAAGGATGCTCCACATCCCTCTGTACCAGAGGCAGCATTACAGGGCAGCTGGCAGCCGGTCTGTGTGAGGAGCTGGTTTTTAAACTGTCTCCCCTTGCAGACCAGCTCCCCCTGTGCTGCCAGGCCCGCCCTTGGGGTCTATCAAATACTTGTGCAACCGCTAAGATTTCATGCGGTTACATGACTATTCAATTACCCGATAGCAACATCCCTACCTAGAATTGACAAAGATTTTCAAGAGGCAGATGGACCAGAGGGTCCCATCTCCATTAGTAAATCTAAACTCCTTCCAGAAGGCCCATTTCTCACACTTATAGAGTTCTTCAGCTACTCCAAGCTCTCGTTCCTTGAAAATCCATTATAAGTTACTGAGTTCCATGAATACAGGGGGACTGCTGTACATTGTAGGTAATTTTCAAGTCACAGCTTTTCCAGAGCGCACATGCAGCCTAATACACACCCACGTACAATACTTGGATGCCACTTGCAGAAATGGTTGGCATCACTTTGCCAAGACTTCTGTACCTTACCTTCATTCTGGAAGCCAAGCTTACAATAGTTAAGTGTTTCAGCTTATTCTTCTGGGCCCCTGTTAGCTCTGGCAGGTTATCCTTGTTTGCTGTTCAAAAAAAAAAAAAAAAAAAAAAGGACAGAGTTATGGAATTTCCTTCAAGAATTCAACAAAACTTTCAGGTGAAAGTTTTTGACCAAGTTGCACCCCAGAAGTCAGTAGCACTAACGACTCCTTCTGCTATGTAGGAGTGCTAATGAGGACCCAGTGCTGCTAAATGCAACAGCTGGACCACGTCCGTGGGGAAACATAGGCTAAATTAAAAAGCAAGTCAGTCTGTTCCAAAACCAGACCCACAAAAACAACATAATGCACATGTTCACAGGTGAAATCCTGCCAAGACATATGGTTAATATTTTGTTTCCAGGACCAAACTATTTGTCCTCGTTCAGTAAGCTCATGCTAATAAAGCCTTGGACTTTGATTTCACCAGCTGTAAAATGTGGATGATGCTTACTTCTCTGAAAATCAAGTTCACAGAGAGAAATTATTAATCTAGATACTTCTAGGGCAATCCCAGCCCAACAGTACCCACAAGCCTCTAACGTATTCACAAACAGAAGGGAGGCTGGCTACTTTCAAAAGCATAGGCATTCTTTGGAATGTGTGTGTTAATGAAAGATTTAACATTTCAGTGACACTGAAGTTGACTGGCCCACATGGAACCCATCTCATCCATCTCACCCAATCCTTTCCATTTTGGGCTCCTCTGTCCCTTCCCCATTTTGGGGGGATTTTTTTTTATATTACACCTTCCCTTACTATCTTACTTTTTAATACTTTCCAAAGGATTGCACAATGCTTCATGAAGTGTCCAAGCGACCATATATAATTCAGTTTAACATCTTTCTGAGGGGAAATACCAAAGAAACCCACCACAGCAGACTTTACCTCCAGAAAGAGAAGCGACACAAAAATGAGACCAATTACATGAAATGAAAAGTTACAGTCACAAGCGCATGCCTGCAAGCTACATGGAAACTTCTTTAAATCACAGTATTATAAACTCAAGCTATATCTATACCCAAAATGATTTTTTTTTTTAAAGAGGACCAAAAAATGCCACCATGGCTAAGCTGAGTAAAAGACTGAATTAGAGACAATACATCCTTTAAAAACTGGAAGTCAAAACCTACTCAGGAAAACAGAAAGGAGCATAAACTCTGGCAAGTCAAATGTAAAAGTATACTTATGCAAGCCAAAAAAAGAATTTGAAGAGAAACTAGCAAAAGACACAAAAACTTAAGAAACTTGTTGCTTTAAGTATACCAGAAGCAGGAAGCCTGCCAAATAATCAAAGGAGCACTCAAGGAAGACAAGGTCTTTATAGACAAGCAAAATCAATTCTTTGTATTGATCTTCACAGCAAAGGATGTGCACGAGATTGCTACACCTGAGCCTCCCCCCCCCCACCCCCAAGAGACAAATCTGAGGAACTGCCCCAGATTGAGGTGTCAATAGAGGAGGTTTTGGAATAAAGTGATACATTAAACAGCAATAAGTCACCAGGACAAGATGGATTCACCCAAAAATTCCAAAGAATCTCAAATGTGAAATTGCAGAGCTATTAAATGTGGTATGTAAGCTATTGCTTAAATCAGCCTCTGTACCAGATGACCGGAGGATAGTTAATATAAGACAGATTTCTTAAAGAAGCTCCAGAGGCCATTGTACTAATTACAGGCTGGGATGCCTAACTTCAGTACCAGGCAAATTGGTTGAAACCCAAGTAAAAAACCAAATTATCAGATGGATAGATGAACACTGTATGTGGGAGAATAGTCACAGGTTTTGTAAAGAGAAAGCATGCCTCACCAATAATTAGAATTATGTGAGGGGGTCAAACAAGCATTTACACAAGAGTAATCCAAAGGTTATAATGCACTTGGACTTTCAGAAGCCATTGGCAAGGTCACTCATCAAAGACTCTTAAGCAAAGGAAGCAGTCATGGGATAAGAGGGAAGATCCTCTCACAAATCAGTAACTGGTTAAAAGATAGAAAACAAAGGATTAGAATAAATCATCAGTTTTCACAGTGGAGAGAGGTAAATAACAACTGGGTCCCCCGGTGATCTGTACCGGGATCACTGTTGCTCAATATATTTATAAATGATCTAGAAAAAAGGGTAAACAGTAAGACGGCAAAGTTTACTGACAATACAGAATTTCAGAGTGCGAAGAGTTATATAAAGAGACCTAACAAAACGGGGTGACTGGGCAACAAAATGGTAGATAAAATTCAATGCTGATAAGTGCAAAACGATGCACACGGGAAAACATAACCCCAACTATGCATACAAAATAATGGAGTCTAACTTAGAAGAAAGATCTTGGAGTGATGTGGCTAGCTCTCTGAAAACATCTCCTGAACATGCAGTGGCAATCAAAAAAGCTAACGTTAGAAACCATTCTAAGAGAAAAATATCATAATACCATTGTATAAATCCATAGTATGCCTACACCTTGAATTCGGCATGCAGTTTTGGTTGCTGCATCTCACAAAAGATCTACAGGTTGAACCTCCCAAATCCAGGACTCTCTAATCCGGCAACATCCATGGTCTGGCAGGGCCACAGATGTTGCTGGACCAAAGAGCCCCAGAGGAGGTGGGAGCAATGTAGGGACTGGGGAGCCCAGGCTGGACCAGGAGGCATCCGGGGAGCCCCTGCCCTGCCTGGGAATCCCTGGTGTTAGCGGGCCAGACGGCAGCCAGGGAGCTCCCAACCCAGCCAGGGAACCCCCAGCAATAATGAAGCCAGGTGACCGGGGAGTCCTGGCTCCAGCTGGGGAACCAGTCTGCTGCAGGACTACCCGTGGCCCGCACCCTCCAGCCTGGAATCCCAGCAAACCACTGGTGGCAGCGGGGCCAAGGTGATCGGGCAGCTTCTGCCAGGGAACCCCATGGCTGAAGAAGGGGTGGTGGAGGCTGCTGGCCAGAATCCTGAGCAGCAGTGGGGCCAGCCCTAGCAGTGGAGCTCCAGGAGACCCTTGGGCAGGCAGCTGAGTGGGAGTGTGCCAGTCCAATGTTAGGGAAGCCAGCGGCAGGGCAGGGAGCCCCAAGGAGAGGAGCCCGGGAGCAGGGCAGCCAGCAGGGGAGCACTGACCTCCCCTGGTCCAGCAAAATCCCTGGTCCGGGACAGCTCAGGTACCAAGGGTGCCGGACCAGAGAGGTCCAACCTGTATTAGAAATGGAGAAAATACAGAGACAGGCAATAACAATTATTAAGAACATGGAACAGCTTCTATATAAGGAGAGATTCAAAAGATGAACTGTTCATCTTAGGAGAAGGGGGATAACAAGAAGTCCAGTGGCACCTTAAAGACAAACAATTTATGGCAGAAGTCTGTGGAATTGGGAGGAGTGTGGATAAAATGACTAAAAAAGTGTTATGCACACCTTCACATACCCCAAGAACTAGGTGTCATCCACTGAAATTAACAGCTAGCAGGTTTAAAATGAATAAAATCAAGTACAGTACTTCTTCAAACAACGCACAGTAAATCTATGGAACTCGTCACTGGGCAATGCTGTGAAGGCCTAATGCAGAATGGAATTCAGAAAAGAATTAGATAAGTTCCTGGAAGACAGGTCCATCAACGGCTGTTACTCAAGGTGATCAGGGTTCCTCAATATCTGACTGCAAGAAGATGATACCGGATGACGGGATGGAACACTCAATAATTGCCCTCTTCTCTTTGTCCCCTCTGAAGCAACTGGCACCTGCCACTCTTTGAAGGGAGAATATGGGCTAGATGGACCATTGGTCTGACCCAATACAGCCGTTCTTATGACTGTACATTTAGTTTGTCCTGCATCATGAAAACTGCTGCATGCAGGAAGGGGAGGCTTAAGGCAAGGATATTAGTGAAAATCCCTACTCTTCCAGGTCATGCCCTGGGATCTAACACCCATGCAGAGCAGACAGGTCCTCTAACTAACCACATCCTAGAGACCCACAGTCTGCAGAGAAGTAATGAAGCTTGTTCTGGCTCCATATCTACAGAAAATCCCCCCCCGTCCCTCAATATACCTACTCAATTTGTTCTCCAGAGCTTACAACTGAAGTGCTCAGATATTACTATGATGGGTATCAAGACATCTTGGACAGAACTCTTTGTAAGGCATTGTATTACTCTGGATTCAGGCTGCTGCTCACAAATATTAAGTACTGCCTTCTGTCTGAACTGAAGTGTAAGCACAAAAGGCACAGCAAGCTTGAAATGCACTTTCCAGCAGACATCCTCTCCTGATTCAGATTGGGTGCCTCTGAGTTATATACAAGTGATTACATCCTGGTGGACATGTCTTTGCTTTACCATATGTAGAGGTTACAGAAGCCTAAGAGCAAGATGGGTCATTTGCATAACACCATTCCTGAGTTCAGCCAATGCCAAGCAAGAACGCTCTCTGGCCCACTTTAAGGCCAGCTAGACAAGCTATTCTTTTTTGAGATTCTTCCCTTTGTAGACATTTTCTCAGTATTCCAAAAACATAGCAAAACCTGGATTACAGAACAGATTTAGTTCCTGCCAAATATTTCCCAAACAAATTAAGATGTTTAAGCCATTCAAGTGGAGAAAAGCGATTCAACCCAGTGAAATTGCAACACTCAAAATTACTCTAAGAACTCACTAGTAGATGCAATGCTTTTATTTAAACAGATACAAGGTGGAGCAGTTTCCAAAGACAAGCACGTGTCATTGTGTGTGAAATGCATGTGCAAATGTGTACCTAATTTGCACCCATTATCAAAACTACACTTAATTTGCACCCATTATCAAAACTACACATTTAGACTAGACTTTTGCACATAAAAAAGGGCGATTTGTCTAACAGCTTAGGCATGCATGCAAGTACTGTGTTTGAACACACACACATCCAGGACACAACTGCATGTGCATTTGAGAGTTGTGCCTTTTGGTGTGAATGTAAAAGGTGACACAAACCCCATCTACCAACTTCTGTTCAGAACGGATTTTCAAGACTAGGTTACAAACCTCTGAATGGGAAGATTCCCTAATTTCAAAACAGATGGCGAGTTTGTCCTCTGCAGAATCAGTGTCTTTTGAACATGAGGAAGAGACACCAAAATACCGCTGCAAGTCAATTCATGTCACAGTGACTCAGCTCAAGAGAGGCTAGTAAAATGCCCATTCTAATGATCTACACCAACCCGTAACCGTTTGGCTATTGCTCTTCTTCCATAGTCAGTTGAAAAAAAGATTTCTCACGCAGAAAGCCTACCACAGACAGAATTTTACTCTTAGACCCTTTCAACCTGCCACATTTATAGAGACATTGTTGGGTAAGTTGGCTACCTTGAGTTGCCCGGCTGTACTCATGGCAGGACTAAGCATTATTCTAGACCATCCCGGACAGCTGTTTGTCTATCCTGCTCTTAAAAATCTCCAGTGATGGAGATTCAACAGCCTCCCTAAGCAATTTACTCCAGTGCTTAACTAACCTGAGTCCTGTGGCACCTTATAGACTAACTGCAGTGTAGGAGCATAAGCTTTCGTGGGCAAAGACCCACTTCGTCAGGCGAAGTGGGTCTTTGCCCACGAAAGCTTATGCTCCTACACTGCAGTTAGTCTATAAGGTGCCACAGGAGATCCTCGCTGCTTTTGCAGATTCAGACTAACACGGCTACCCTTCTGATAACTAACCTGAGAGGATGTTTTTCCTAATGTCCAAACTAAACCTCCCTTGCTGTCCTATCTTCTTGTCCTATCCTCAGAGGTTAGGGAGAACAATTTTTCTTTCTCCTCCTTATAACACCCTTTTATGTATTTGAAAATTGTTGTGTCCCCTCTCAGTCACTTTTCCAGACTAAAGAAACCCACTGTTTTCAATCTTGCCTCAGAGGTCTTGTTTTCTAGACCTTTAATTGTTTTTTTGTTGTTCTCTGGATTTTCTCCAATTTGTCCACATCTTGTTGAAATGTGGCGCCCAGAATAGATGCAATACTCTGATGGAGGGAGTAGAGCAGAAGAATTACTATTTGTGTCTTGCTTACAACATTCTTGCTATTACATTAAAGAACTGTGTTTGCTTTTTTTTGCAACAGGGTTACACCGTTGATTCATATTTAACTTGTGATCCATTTTGACCCCTCGTTCCTTTTCCACAGTACTTCTTTCCAGGCATGCATTTAATGGTTTCTTCCTAAATGGAGATTTTGCATTTACCCCTATTGAACTTTAGCCTATTTACTTCATACCATTTCTCTAGTTTGTCCAGATAATTTTGAATTTTAATCCTATTCTCCAAAGCACTTGCGACCCCTCTCATCTTGGTGTCATCCACAAATTTTGTGTACTGTGTCATTATCTAAATCAGAGGCGGGTAACCTTTTTTGGGTCGGGGGGCCACTGATCCACAGAAAAATCAGTCAGAGGCTGTACATAAACGGGAAACAAAAAACCCCCACCACCGCTAGAGTGGGCTCCGCAATGCTGGGGGGAGCCAGATCTAGGCAAGCCGGGGATTGCATCTGGCCCCCGGGGCCTTCGGTTCCCCACCCCGATCTAAAACATTGATGAAGATATTGAACAGAACCAGGCCCCAGAATTGATCCCTGCAGGACTGCACTTGTTATTCCCTTCCAGCACGACTGTGAACCATTGATAACTACTCTCTGGGAATGGTTTTCCAACAGCTTTGCACCCACCTTATAGTAGCTCAATTTAGGTTGCATTTCCCTAGTTTGCTTATGAGATGGTCATTTGGGACAGAATCAAAAGCTTTACTGAAGTCAAGATATATCAGATCTACCGCTTTCGCCTATATACAAGGAATGTTATCCTGTTAACGAAAGTTATCAGGTTGGTTTGACACAATTTGTTCTTGATAAACCCATGCTAACTGTTGCATATCATCTTACTATCTTCCAGATGTTTGCAAACTGATTCCTTAATTATTTGCTCCATTAACTTTCCTAGTACGGAAGTTATGATAAGTCGATTGTCCTGTAATTCCCTAGCTTGTCCTTATTTTCCTTTTTATAGATCGGCATTATATTTGCCCTTTTCCAGTCTTCTGGAATCTCTCCTGTCTTTCATGACTTTTTAAAATAAGTGAAGAGCTGCACAGGCTAGTTCTGAAAAGACTGGATGTAAGCGAGTAGTCAAGTAACCAATAAACCTAGGTTTATCAGTTAGTTGAGTAAACTACTCAACTACCCGCATTCTCCCCCTCCCCCCCGCCGCCTCTGTATTAGAGACAGAAAGGGGGGAAGGGAGAAGCAGGAGTTGGGACTGCCAGTGGAGAGAAGAACTGGTGCGGACAGATGTTTCTACTTAGTGGTTAGGACTTTGCCTAAATATTCCTAGATGCCATTTGACGTATTACTCTCCAGGGTTTAATAGCAGAGCTGACTGGATTCAATTGAGTCTTCCTTGTTTTCTGGTTGGTGATTCCGAGAGCTGACATCATTGCAGAACAGATTTAGGGGCTGAGCCTTAGACTTTGAGAGAGGACAGTAAAAGATAGCACAGAGATTGCACTGTGAGACTCCCTGCTGAAATCACTAAGAGCTGGGTAGAAGTAGGGATGTTAAGTAGTGGAAATTTCCATCGACTACTCAATTAGTAGATAAGGGGGTTCGCTCCAGGGTGGTGCAAGACAGGACTGAGTAGTTCCAGTTTGCATAGACTCCAGGAGCTCTGCTTTTTAAATGTAGTAAGAGTCAGTAGACTCTTGCTACATTTAAAATGCAGAGGTATAGCATTGGACCTGGCGTGAGCCTGGACTGAGCAAGCCTGGCTCAGTCCCAGCTCGCACCGAGTGAGGAATATACCCTCGCTGCGGCTCTGTAGTTTAAATGTAGTAGGAGCTGGTCTGCCTGCCGCCTGGCTCTTACTACATTTAAGCTGTAAAGCTGCAGTGCGGGTAGCTCCTGGAGTCAGCACAAGCCGGGACTGAGCCAGGCTTACTCAGTTCCAGCTCACTGTGGGTCCAGGACCTACCCCTGCTGCAGCTCTGCAATTTAAATGTAGTAGGAGCCGGTCTGCCTGCCCACAGAGCTGCAGCAGGGGTGGCTCCCAGACCCAGTGCTAGCCGGGATTGAGCTCCTTCCCTTATCAACTAATTGTGTAGTTGATAGAATTTTTATCGACTACACGATTAGTGAAATACCTACTTCTTAACATCCCTAGACTGCGTTACCCCACTCAGCCATTTCGATCATTGCCAGGTTCTGAGAGCATTTGCTTAATGCAATCTCTTACCGATGTAATCTGGATACGTTCCATAGGCAAACAGATTCAGCAACTGGAAATAAGCAGCATTAGGCCCTTCAGCAAGCTGGAGAGGAGGAAAGTAAAAGAGATCTTTTGTCAGCCAAAAAACTGGTATAGTTTCTCCTGAGTGCTGGTTTTAATTACACATATAATATGTAACTTAAAAAATACATGAAAGAAGGGCTACTTTCAGAGGACTGGATCCTTTTCAACATTGTGTAATCAGCACTACATTTCAATAGTTTAAAATCAGGATAAAGATGACAATTCCATGTATTAAAATTTGAGTTTAGTTTACGTAGTCAATTACTTCATGTAATAGCTTAGATAAAATGAAGAAAACGTCCTCTTGAATTCGGCTTGTGTTCTTATCATAGGACTGCTGAGCAGATTATGGCATTGGTAAGTTAAGAATCTTTACTAGCGACTGGGAAGCTGACACAGTTAAATTGCACAATGACAAAATCTCAAAACAAAGCAGGTTAGAGCATTTTAAAACTGTCTGTTTCTGGAAGTTCTATACTTTCTCTCAAACAAATAGTGCAACAGTTGTCACACTAACCTCTGTTAGGGATGTTAGATAATGTGTAATTGAATAGTTGTGTAACCGCATCAAATTTTAGCACAGCCAGTGCACTCCCAGCCCCACTCCTGGGAAGCCCCTGACACTTTGTGCTGCTGTCTTTTTTTTTAAAACCAGTTCCCCGTGCAGACCAGCTGCCACGCTGCAGCATGGGAATTTCCTTCGACTACTTGATTAGCTGATTAAATGAAATTTAACATCCATATTTAAATCAAAACACATAAGACAAAAGTGATGCCCTCATGTACACCAGGTCCTCAAGATCTGTAAATCTGTCATTTTGACTTAGGGAATGACAGAAGCATTGGAAAACTGTGGTAAATTATGTCAGGCTTTGCCCTGGATGAGCATTCTACCATCTTAGTTTATTACATGCGTGGAAATTCCTAGGAGATCCCTTAAACCAGGACTTAGGGGAAAAGGAGAAAATATAGATGGAACCATAACTCTTACCTCTTGCACGTTTGTTAACTCCAACAGTTCTCCAAAGACGTAAACCCCAGGAGCTTCTAGCACTTGGTTTATCAGAGCAGTCAGGGCTGATCCGTTGGTGCCTTTGGCTAATAAAATAAACTGCTCAAGAAGATTGCAGGATGGTTTCTGTTCTCCTGCCATTCTAGATTTTTCAATCTGCCAAAAAGAAATTGTTTTAATGACTCTCTCCTCCATCTTTGTACAAAATGCTACTTAGGATCAGGAAGCATGGCCAGGATTTTAACATTACAACTTAACTTTGCCTTGTTGTTCATGATAATTCAGAACTACTGATGAGTGTGGGACGAAGGCATTGTGGCAAAGTGCTCTCTGTCCACAGAGCAGCAACACTCAAGCAATAGCTTTCAAACCTTCCTGCACACTGTCCTGCCAACATGCCTCACCTATCCCCTAAAGGAAGGGGGTTCCATGGCTTTCCATTCTTTTGAGACTGCCAAGTGGTGACAACTATGATGGTGGGTTGTGATGGCTACTAGGAACTGGCTGAGACTCCCTCCACCTCAACTCATTACAAGGCAAACACCAATTGATTTAACCCTTTTTTAATATATATATATAAAATCCAATTACAAAAACTAGTATACTGCATCTTTCCCAAAAGTATCTGAATATCTGTCAGTTGACAAAGCAGGAGCATGAAATTCCATCTGCTTTCAGAGCCAAAGAGGGGAAAATGAAAAAGCTTTGTCACCAGCTTACTTAGTTATTGTGTATTTTTGCTAAAACGGCAGAGTTAAATTGATTAATGTTAATTACAAGGCTTAAGTGATAAAAATACCTTTTCTTTATAAAAGTAAGGCTTTGACTTCAATTCTGATCCAACACATCTGACCTGTATTTTCACTCTGAGTATTATCATTTGAGTTCTGAAATGTCAAATCTAGTTACCAGCTGACAAGTTCAGAAAATAAAAGTGGCAAATTTCAAGTCACGTGCAAGCTACGAAGAACTTGATCTCCGAAACCCTGCATCACAATTGGACATGATTTTTTCATGTTATACAGGCAGTCCCCGGGTTACATGGATCCAACTTGCATCAGATCCCTACTTACAAATGGGGTGAGGCAACCCCGCACTAGCTGTTTCCCCTCAGCAGACCAGGGAGATGCGAAGCTAGCGCTCCCTCCCCCTCCCCCCAGCAGACCAGGGAGACGCGGAGCAGTTTTTCTCAGCAGACACCTCAGCTTGAGAATAAAGGACTGAGGGAAGTGAGGTGTGGGAGAATAAAACTGAGCTCTGGAGAAATGTTTGGCTAGAGTTTCCCCTACAATATGTACCAGTTCCGACTTACATACAAATTCAACTTAAGAACAAACCTACAGTCCCTATCTTGTAAGTAACCCTGTATTTACAAACAAGAGATTATGGTGACAATTGTAAGATCTTGTTGTTAACCTCTGTGTTTGTATTAGTTCCACTAATAATGACCGAGGGTTCTGGGAGGGCTTGTACAAGCACAGGTTGCTACAGTTTTAGTCTATTATCCAAGCTAAATTAAAGCTGACTCACATAGGTCTACTTCAACTGCTGTCACATTCTGTGATTGAAATACAGTTATACCCTGTGTCTCATAATACATCTTGGGGTAAATAAGTATTATCATCTGACTTCAGTGAAAAGGACACTGAGGCACAAGTGATTAACTCAAGGTGACATAGGGAAAGTGACAGAACTGGGAATGAAATGTAGATTTTCTGGCTCGTAGATAAGTGAAAAGTTATGCTATTTGTTAGCATCAAAGCAGATTTACATTCATCAGTAGCTCTCGAAGTGCTTTCCAAGTCTAAGTAAGTACTATTATCCACATTTTACAGATGAATAAACAGACTAAAAGGTGAAACAGTTTGCTCAAGAACAGCAAATCACTGAGAAATGGATAGAACCCAGGTCTTCTGACTCATTTCCATAGCCTAGCCCATTGGTTTTCAAAATTCGTTGCACCATGACCCCTTCTGATAAAAATTACTACATGACCCCATCAGTTGGGGGGGGGGACCAAAACCTGAGCCCACCTAGCTCCAAAACCCACGGAGGAGGGGACAAAGGCAAAACCAGAGCTGCACCATGCTGGCCAGAGAGGAGAGGAAGGGCAAAGGTGAAGTCTAAGTGCTTCAGCCCCATGCAGAGCACCTATAACCTGAGTCCCACTACTTCTGCTTCAGCTCTGGACAGTGGGGCTCGGGCTTCAGCAAGTCAAAATCAGCCCAAATGATCCTATTAAAATGGGGCTGTGACCCACCTGACCTGGAGTCTGAGAACCGATGCCCTAGCCAATGAGTCAGGACTACCTTCCTGGAAAAAACTGATCATTTACCCATCCCGCAGGATTCTTTTTTGGCTCTGTTCTGCTGTCCACACTCCAGATTGCAATTTTCCATACAGCCAATAACACTCTTCCTTAAGTGCCACCCTCAGGAGCATGGTGATAGCACAGAAGCAAATGGCAAACCTGACATGAGTGGCCACGTGGCAACATCGTTCATGATTTCTTCTTCAGTTTGCTAAGAACTGAGGAGGTACCTAGATTTTGTTTTGAGTTCAAACAAATGTGGCTAGCCATATACCCAGTATTTTCAAGTAAACAGTAGCATTTGCATCACACTTCACTTGTTCACACTGTGGTTTTGGTTGTCAAAGCTGGTGCAAAACAAGATTTTTCCAGACCATTTGTCAAACTTAATATTTCAGGTACCTTTTAATTTTTCCAAAAGAAAACCATGCATGTTTGCAACCTGAAAGTCCATCTTCAGAGACACAGGTGCAATACTCACTGCCTGTATTTCCCGCTTCTACTGTCTTATGGCAGGGTCAAGACAAACTGACCCACAGAGGGAAGAGCAGAAGAACACACACATATCTCATAGCAACATGCTATCCAAAGATCTGGGGCCTGGAGAGGAGTGTCAGTGCAAGGGAGAAAGCGGGGATTTATCTCGATGTAGCAACCAAAACACTCAGCACAAAAAGGTTTAAAGCTAAATGTACTGTGTATCTTCTGTGTAGAACTATTTGCCTCCGACAGGAGGAGCATAACAAAGGTCTCTGCAAATGCCCACGTGTTTAGACCACAATCAGAAATGAATTCAAACAGGCAAAGGGCTGAAAGTAAAATAAGGTGTCCTGGAGACAGACATCTCGCCTTGCACAGGACACAAATAGTAAAGGCGGCCTCAAATGACATAGCTCAGACGTACATAGGACAAAGCTACCAATTCAGCCCAGGCATTGGTGACCGGCTCCTTCCACTGAAGGCAACAAACCCCCTAGTTTACACCAGCGCACGGTAGCCCCATCTTCTGCACCAAAGCGGCAGAGCGCGCGAGGAGACGGCAGGGCAAGAGAGAGACGCTCCGCCCTCTCCCCCACCCTCCTGTTCATAGAGAGGAAGGGGACAATTAAACAAAGCTACCAATTCAGCCCAGGCATTGGTGACCGGCTCCTTCCACTGAAGGCAACAAACCCCCTAGTTTACACCAGCGCACGGTAGCCCCATCTTCTGCACCAAAGCGGCAGAGCGCGCGAGGAGACGGCAGGGCAAGAGAGAGACGCTCCGCCCTCTCCCCCACCCTCCTGTTCATAGAGAGGAAGGGGACAATTAAAATCCCAAACAT